GTCCAGAAGACCTATACAATTTTTTTCTTTTTGATTTTTTACCTGGATTACTGAGATGCATCAGGACAAAAGCAGAAATATATGAATGGACCAATAAATACATTTAAAATGCACCAATTAAATTAAAAAAAAAAACTTCACCTCATGTTTTATCATTTGACATTTATATTTATTTTTCCAGCTTAGTTTGAATATATATTTTAGCACATAATTTACATTTTACTGTTTTTAAATATACAGTTCGTTTTTCCTTTTACTTGTACATTTGGACATACACGTTTAATTCTTTTCTATAATTTTATCCCACAAGTCTTTATTTCCATTTGTTCCTTTGACATTTTTCTCCCCTGCTTTAAATACTTAAATATATCGCCAATGTTGGACCCTCTTCAATCATTTTCACATAATAAAAGCCTTTATATGTGTCGGACCCAATGTCTTCATTCATTTTTTCAGTATATATTTATTAAAGATGCCAACCTGACGTCTTGATTCATTGTTTCTGCTTCTCTGGTTACATTTCAAAATAAGAGTAACATAAGTCTGTAGAATTTTTTATTTTAATTTTATTTTTTGAGATATTTGGAAATAGGGAGAACTAAATGTTTTATTAATGAAACAGCAATTTATCATTAAAAACAAACATTTAGTTCTCCCTATTTATAAAATTTCTCAAAAAATAAAATAAAAAACACTACCGTCTGATGTTGCGTTTATTTGAAATGTAACCTGTAGCTCTTTGTTTAGAGAAGTGGAATGATATCGTTATTAAACATATGCTAAAATAATCTGCCCGTTATTATTCCCAAGTTTTCTAATTACCACAGTAACAACAGCAACTTTGTGAAAATAAATATAATGAAAATAAATATGAAAGTCAGATTCATAGAAGTAAGCTAATAACATTTAAAAAAATCATCCAATCAGATGGTGCTCTTGAGTAACGCCCCCTTTGTGCTTGCGCAATCAGGTGTGTCCATTGATAAAAGTTTGTCCAATCAGTTGTGTCTCTTCAGAACCACCTTTCTTTGGAAATGCCCAAGGCTGGGTAGGGGGCGTGGTTTATTGTGGTGTAGAGCCAGGATTGGTGGGATGTTTTGTTTGGTTGATTGTGTTGAGGTTTGCTGTTGTTTAGTGGATGTTCATGTACAGTAGTAGTTATATTGTTTTTTAAACAGGCTTGCTGGTGTTTGGTGGATTGGTTTCCATATTTGTAAAATAGTTATTTTGCTGTTTTAATTAGGCTTTTTTATTTTTGTTTGTCTCCTGTATGAAGTAACATGTGTTGCTTTAGATTTCCCTTTGTGCTTATTTTCTTCTCACACACCTCACACTGAAACAGTTTCTCTGCTGGTGGGAGTTTCAGGTTAGGATTAACAACAGGTAAATAACCAAGTGATTTTCTACATTTTTTACAATGAAAATGTTTCACTCCTGTGTGCTGAACCATATGATATTTCAGCTCATGTGGGAACTGAAATGTTTTACCACAATCATCACAAGCAAACGGTTTCGCTCCTGGATGGCGCCTCGAGTRATGTTTAAGATAATACTGAAACCTAAAGGTCTCTCCACATTCAGCACAAGCAAACAGTTTGTCTCCAGTGTGGACGCTCATGTGACGTTTGAGACGACTTTGATAGAAAAAAGTTTTACCACAATCATCACAGGCGAACGGTTTGTTCCCAGTGTGGGCACTCATGTGACGTTTAAAGCGACACCGATAGTCAAACGTTTTACCACAAACATCACAGGAAAGCGGTCTTTTGTCAGCTTTGACTTGTAATTCTACAGTTTTCTCCTTTCTAAAACATTTATCAACCAAAGCATTAGTGGTTTCACCTGAATGAGAAGTCATGTGTTTCTGAAGGGATCGCTGGTCGACACACTGTTTACAAAATTCTGGGCAGCTCATCGTTCTTTTGGCACTTTTATGTCCCGCGTTGTCTTTAACTCCCGATCCAGGTGTTCTGGTGTCCCTGGTTACGAGACGTGACCGATTTTCATCCTCATCATAATCTTCACTGTTTTCAGTGTCTGAAGAGTCTGAAGCCTTTCCATCAGTGTTTGGCTGTAAGTTAATATTTGGACTCTGGTTCCTGTCTGGTTCTGGTCCTCCACAGTCCTCTCCATCAGTTTCTGTCTTCATGAGCTCAACCGAGCTGCTGGTTGGAGTTTCTGTYTCTCTGTTGTTTTCAGTTTTGATCTGATGAACCTGGAATAACTGAGGTTTGTCATCACTCTCCTGTCCGCTCCAGAGTTCCTCCTCTTCCTGCTTTATAATTATGAGATCTGGGTCCTGCTGGTCCAGACTGGAGCTCCACAGATGAGGATCCTCTTCTTTTTTAATCTCCAACAGCTTCTGGTCATCTGCAGGAGACACATTGATATTACTGATACTTCTGTTAGCGAGTAAAAATTTCAAATTGGTTAAAACCTGAGCGAACTACAGAAGAGTGGATTAAAAATAATGATTATACATATATAATAAAATAATAATAAAATAATACATTATTTTATGGAAAAACTGACTTTTTAACCTAAAGCTTAAATATGAAAATGTGTTCACATCTGGTCAAAACCAAGTGCTTAGATTTTAAAGTGTCTGTGAAAGACTTCTCCTTCAGATACAAAACATCAAAGAAAACTTAGTTCTATTTAAGAAACTTGGCATAACACACTATTTTTCTTATTTAGACACATAACTGGCCTATTTTCTTTTGAACTTGGCAAAAGGGAAACAGGAAGTGACATCAAAGGGGAACTCCTTTAAAAAAAGAAGTCACTGCTCTTTGTTTATTGAAACATTATGATTTGAACTCTGACTTTGTTTTGTTTCTGTCTGATAGTGACTCAAAAATAATCTAAAACATCAGATTCCTCTCCACAGTCTGGGTTATTGAGCATTTTAGCTTAGCTCTGTTTTCATGCAGACATTCCCCTTTGACATCACTTCCTGTTACTTCACATGCAAACGTCTCAACAACTGTTCATCTCAGCAGCATGAAAATTATTGTGTAAAATGTTCTCAGTGTTATCGTTCCAAAAACATTTGTATTATTTCAAAAACGTTTCATGTCACAGGCACTTTAACTTTCTTTAAAGTGCCTTTCTTTACTGTTGTAATAAAAAAATWAAAATCTGATTTACTGTTTTGCTTAATTCAATATACCCCAACAAGAGCATGAACTCATTTAAATTAATTAAGAGTTAAATACTCAATTTTTTTACCTGTCCGCAGGCTTATAAAACCAAATAACACAATATTAGTTATTTGTCAAGATAATCCTCAGAACACAGTGGAACCTATTATTTMAATCTGTCAGAACAAATGAACAACTAACAAATGTTCTGAAGAAACTACAGCATTGATGAGGGGAGTATGACGCATTGTTTATGTTTATCTTAGCAGCGCTATGCTAAGCTAACAGTTAGCCGTTTTGTCTCCGCTGTTATAAAACTGCTCATCTGTGATTCTTCTTACCAGCTGTTTGGTCTAGAACAAAATCCTCCTGCTGGTGGACACCGAGAGATTTCATCTCCATTTTATTATCTATGAGCAGTCTTTGCTCTGGTGAAGGGTTAGGGTCAGGGTCCACATGAAAACCGGAGTTTGGACTTGAAGCGGGCCTGAATCAAACAACACCAATCACCTCTCACTGCAGCCGAGTACATTTCTGTCACTCTGGAGCCAAACCGCAGAAATGTTTCTTTTTCATAACCRATCTGTTTGTAAATGTTTTCATCTTTGTTGCATTTTGATCAGGCATCAGCTCGGACACCCTTTAGTTTTGTTGTTTGCCTCACTGCTGCCATCTTCTGGAGATAGTTCACCCCTACAACATCTAGACACACATTTACTTTACCAGAAATGGACTCAGTGAGTGAAAAAGCAGCCAAATTTCAAATAAAAACCATAAAAAAAAACATTAAAAGGTGGTAAGAATGCCAGGTTGCTTAGAAAAATAAATGTAAAGCAGTGATGGCTGGATAAAGACTTGCACAGCACAGTAGTTCTTTAGGAGTATTGTATATTTTTTAGGATCTCATGATTACATCTCGTTTATACTTGACACATTTTCCACACAGAGCGGTAATAAACTACACAGAAACTTTAATTTTACTTGACTTGATATTTTCTTAATGTCACAGTTCCAACCYTCAAAATTTGCCCAGATTTGGGATCTGGTTTGAGCAAAAATCACCCAAAGAAAGACGCTCAGTTACATTTTATTGGTTTGTTTTTAGTTAGATTACATGCAGTGACAGAAGGTAAAATTAGCATTTCTCTCCTCTCTGAGGATCACCCAGCAGCAGCGTGATCCATCCAAATAATATTTATTTATATTTAAAAGTGAACAAAAGAAACAGTGAAGACGGGTTGCATGAAATACTGAAGTAAATGTTTGAGCACAAACTCCAAACTTAAAGTTTGTCTCTTCCGTGGAGCTGAAGATGCAGAACGTGACTAAATGTTTTCTCCAAAAAAATCCCAATCAAAAGCCTTTTCTCCTCTGTGACCCATCAAATGTCTTTTGAAATTAAACTCTAGTCTAAACAGTTTCCCACAATCATTGCAAGAAAAAGGCATTTTTTGTTTGTGGTCCACCATGTGATCATTGAAATCAGCTTCATGGTGGAGTTTTTCATCACAATATTCACATGCAAATGTTTTTCTTACTCTATGACCTCTCATGTGACTCTTCAGCCCTGACTTGTGTGAAAATTTTCTATTACAAACGCTACATTTAAAAGGTTTCTCTCCTGCGTGAGTTCTCATGTGACATTTCATCCCAGACGAGTGTCTAAATGTTTTACCGCAAATTCCACAATCAAACGGTTTATCTTCWATGTGGATTCTGTAATGACTCTTCAGCAACCACTTGAGTTTAAATGTTTTACCACAAACTCCACATGCAAATGGTTTTTCCCCTGTGTGGATTCTTAAATCATTGTTCAGCAGATAGTTGAGTCTAAACTTTTGGCGACAAACTCCACAATCTATTGGTTTCTCTCCTTTGTAGCTCCCGATGTGCGCCAGATTTTTACATCCTTTGCATGTTTTCTCTGCAGTTTGAGGCCCTTCAGCTCTCTTCTGTTGTGCGATTGTTTTAATTTTTTTATCATTCTCAGACTCAGGAGCTCCGCTCAGCTTCAATGTGCTTTCAGGTTCAGAGTCTGCAAAATGGTCCAAACTATAATCATCATCATCATCAGTCTCTGAGGAGTCTGAAACCTTTCCATCAGTATTCGATTGTAAATAAACATTAGGATCCTGGTTTCTGTCTGGTTCTGGTCCTCCACAGTCCTCTTCATCAGTTGCTGTTTTTATCTGTTCAGCTGAGCTGCAGGTTGGAGGTTCTGTCTCTCTGCTGTCTTCRGTTTTGAYCTGATGAAGCTGTAATAACTGARGTTTGTCTTCATCTTCTTCACTCTTCACAGGGCTGAACAGAATCCCGGAGCATTCAGTCTCATKTCGSCCAYGAAGCTGCTCTTCATCCTSTCTGCTCCACAGCTCCTCCTCTTCCTCCTTTATGTGCAGGAGTTCTGGATCCTGCTGGTCCAGACTGCAGCTCCAGGGGACCTCTGTTTTAATCACCAACATCTGCTGGACGTCTGCAGGTGTCTCTRAAACACACACCAAGAACAGCTTTAAGCTGAGCAGAAACACAGGAGGACTGTTCTGAAGAAAATCTTTCATATTTACTTTTTAATATTGAAATATATTGATGCAACTTACAACATGTTAAATGATAGGAATTATATTACAAAATAGCAGGGTTATTGTGCTACATCAGCTAGGTTCACATAAAGCTGAGCAGCAACACAGGAGGACTGTTCTGTGGAAAATCCCTCATTTAATCTTTTTTTTTGTCTTTTATAGAAATGTAACAAAGGAACAAAGGGATCTGACATAAACAAGTGGAGATTAAATAGTTGATAGCTACTAGTTTTAAGAAAAAAAAGCCTTCATGTAATATAGACCTGCTGATACTTTGGTTAGTAATTAGTAACTTGAGATACCATTTTAATGATAAAAGAAGTGAAGTAATAACTGGAAACTACATAATAGATATCTAAAATGCAGTTTTCTCCTTGTAAAATTTACCATTATACATTATATATTATACACTCACCGGCCACTTTATTAGGTACACC